TTTTCCAGTTGTCAGGGAAGGGTGACAGGGAAGGGTGACAGGGAGGGGTGACAGGGAAGGGTGACAGGGAAGGGTGACAGGGAAGGGTGACAGGGAAGGGTGACAGGGAAGGGTGACAGGGAAGGGTGACATGGAAGGGTGACAGGGAACTGTGGGTTGTCATCTGGTTCACGTCTGATATAGGGACGAGTAGGGTAACGTTGCCTGAACTGTACCTTGTGGTACTGTGCTTTGTACCGTACCTTGTGGTACTGTGCTTCATACCGTACCTTGTGGTACTGTGTGCTTCATACCGTACCTTGTGGTACTGTGCTTCGTACCGTATTTAGTGTCGATTTTGTTTGATTTATTATCACAATTCGTGATGATTATTTCAAACTTAAACCTCGACTTCTCTATATTATTTTATATTCAATTAGAACCCATTTAATGTTTTTTTTCACTCCAGGGGCCCCATTAATCCAATGTTTTTGTTAAGGGTGTGTGTATAGCTCTTTTAGTCTGGTTTGCATTATTGCCTCTGTTATTGTGGTTAAGCAATTGCAAGTTAGTACCCTTTTGGTCTTAAACAGCTGTGACATGGGGAAAATAGCTCGTTTTCTTTCATTAAATTAGCTTCGTAGCTCTCACTGAAACAAATTTATTTGATTTGTGGTTGTTATTGCGTCTGAAATCCAGTGTTTAGTCATAGTATTCATAATAATAATTAGCTTTCCTGTAGTGTCTGTAGGATGTCATCTGTTTAAATGGTCTCTCTCTCTCTCTCTCTCTCTCTCTCTCTCTCTCTCTCTCTCTCTCTCTCTCTCTCTCTCTCTCTCTCTCTCTCTCTCTCTCTCTCTGTAGATTATATTGTGTCAGTATTCCGACCTCCTGGCACTCTCCTCTGGGGTTGACCCCTGGCACTCTCCTCTGGGGTTGACCCCTGGCACTCTCCTCTGGGGGTCGACCCCCACCAGGTGACCACCAGGTCACCCCCCCCCACCAAGTGACCACCACCAGGTGACCACCACCAGGTGACCCCCACACAAGGTGACCACCACCACCAGGTGACCACCACCACCAGGTGACCCCCACCACCAGGTGACCACCAATACCAGGTGACCCCCACCAGGTGACCCCCACCAGGTCCCCCCCCCCACCAGGTGACCACCAGGTCCCCCCCCCACCAGGTGACCACCAGGCCCCCGCCCCCGGCTCTGATTACACCGCTGGCTGCCGCCCGCCCAAAAATTCGTCTGGTTATCGCGATCAAAAGCCGCGCGCCGGAGACTTTCCGCCAAATATTGACTCTGCTCCTAATGACTTGGGTCTTTAGAGTTGAATTGTCGGTCAAACACAGCGGCCGACGGAGCCATTGATGTTACCTTAAAAAGTGTGGCTCGCTCGTCTCCCGCACACCCAGTGTACATCGTCACGTGATAGTTGTGGCGGAGGCGGCACCCTGGCCAGCCCCGCCGCAGCCGCCGCCACCACCGCAGCCGCAGCCACCACCATAACCACTGACAACACTGCCACCAATCCTCCCCCCCCCCTTCCCCCCCGTCCTCCGTGGACTTGGTGACGGCGGTGTTCCTGGAGTGAGAAAGAGGGAAATTCTTGGGCGTGAAATTAGCGGGTTTTACACATTGCTTACTTTAGCGGGTGGCTCTAAAGCGGTGTTGAGGCGGGGAGCAGTGCGGGAGGGAGGGTGGGATGACGGGTGGATTAAACTGTGGGTAGGGTTGGGGGATAGGCAGGTAGGGGATAGGCAGGTGGGGGATAGGCAGGTGGGGGATAGGCAGGTAGGGGAGAGGATGGCCGGGGATTATAGGGGGGAGATGGGGAAGGAGGTAAGAGGAGCAGGCGAGGGAAGATAGGGGGACGGAGGGACGATGGGAAGGGATAGGTAAGGAAGATCCAATCCAGGTCTCACAGGGTCAGGTGTAGCACTGCAGTGACCCTGAGACTGCCACAGTTGTAACCAAGCTTCATTATACACCCTGGCCCAAGTCCTTGTATTATTGTGAGCTACTGGTGGTTACTTGCTGTATACTGTATTGTGAGGTCATGAGAGCTGATGTATACATTATTATGAGGTCATAAGAGCTGATGTATACTTTATTATTATTATGAAGGCTCTTCTCTCCCTCCCACGTCCTCTCACTTGAGGTATCTCTCCCTCCCACGTCCTCTCACTTGAGGTATCTCTCCCTCCCACGTCCTCTCACTCGGGATATCTCTCCCTCCCTCCCTCTAGTCAACCACGTGACATCTGTGTTTACATTTACTAAGTGAAGCCCGAATAGCCTCCCTCACCCTACCGTTCTCTCCCTCACCCTACCATGCCCTCTATCACCCTATCATATCTTTTCCTCCCCCAATCTTCCGAACCCTCCCTCACTTTACAATTCCCTCCCTCACCCTATCATTCCCTCCCTTACTCAATTAGCCTATACTTTATCAACCAGGCTGTGATTTACACGTCAGGCTGCGAGCAGCTGCGTCCAACAGCCTGTTTGACCAGACAACCAACAGGGAGGCCTGGTCGGAGACCGGGCCATGGGGCCGTTGATTCCCGGAAGCTACACAAGGTTGACCAACCATTCCCTTCCTCACCCCACAATTCCCTATTGCACCAACTTTTCTCTCGGAAATCTCAGCCTATTCTCATAGCCATTGGTAGTTATCGTGAGGTTATCTTGAAATAACTTAGGTCAAGGTATACTTACGTTAAGACATTCCAATTTCTTTATTATGCACCCCATACCCATCCCGTGGGCATTCCAATTTAAGTTTCGTTACTGAGTGCTGCAAGTACCCTTCAAGGCCTTCACTACATCCTTTGGTGTTGGAGATAATTGGATGACTTGTGCTAGTCATCCAACTAGTCAAATGAACAAATCCACAAGGGCCGTGACGAGGATTCGAACCTACGTCCGAGATCTTCCCAGACGCTGGGAAGATCAACTGAGCTACGACATGGTCAAAAAGAGTTGAAACCAGAAGTTCTACTGGACTTACTTGGATCCTGCAGCCTCTCCGAGACACAAACCAGGGTTTTACACAACTCCCCCGTGCACTCATGCACTGTCAACATCAATTTGACACCACTATTGGGACTGGCAATCTCCGGAAGATGTGGAGAGCTGGTGAAGCTCTGAACCAGCTATAGCCAACCACAACAATGTAAAACGGCCTTGAGCTTATTACAAAAAGTATAAATAGTATATACGAAATTAATCCTCAGCCACGTACAAGGGCAAGTCTGCCCCACGTGTGACTGTGGAGACTCCCAGCGTGTGTGGCACACTTACTGCTTAAGTGGTCCACGCTGAGAACATCCCCTGGATTATCTAACAAGTGGATTTTTGTTTATATTGAGAAAGTTATCCTTCATGGACAGCTAAGAATAATATTTAATCATGGATCTTATACTCCAAGGTTAAAATTATAGATTTTTCATTCTGTGTTGTTGTTATGGAACCGTGGAAATTTTAACTAATTACTAACTACCTCCCAAACCCTCACTCTAGCCATTGCATCCTTCACCTTGCCCTTGGCTCCATCCCTCACCCTAGCCATGCTCTGGCTGAGGTGAGGAATAATGTGGCTACAGGCGCAGGGTGTGGCTGGGAACACTGTGTGTGTGTGTGTGTGTGTGTGTGTGTGTGTGTGTGTGTGTGTGTGTGTGTGTGTGTGTGTGTGTGTGTGTGTGTGTGTGTGTGTGTGTTTACTAGTTGTTTACTAGTTGTTGTGTTTTGCGGGGGTTGAGCTTTGCTCTTTCGGCCCGCCTCTCAACTGTCAATCAACTGTTTTACTAACTACTTTCTTTTTTTTTTTCTTTTTTTTTTCACCACACACACACACACCCCAGGAAGCAGCCCGTGACAGCTGACTAACACCCAGGTACCTATTTACTGCTAGGTAACAGGGGCACTTAGGGTGAAAGAAACTTTGCCCATTTGTTTCTGCCTCGTGCGGGAATCGAACCCGCGCAACAGAATTACGAGTCCTGCGCGCTATCCACCAGGCTACGAGGCCCCGTAACCCTGTGTGTGTGTGGGGCTACGTAACCCTGTGTGTGTGTGTGTGTGTGTGTGTGTGTGTGTGTGTGTGTGTGTGTGTGTGTGTGTGTGTGTGTGTGTGTGTGTGTGTGTGTGTGTGTGTGTGTGTGTAATTATCTAAGTGTAGTTACAGGATGAGAGCTACGCTCTTGGTGTCCCGTCTTCCCAGCACTCTTTGTCATATAAACATGACAAAGACTTTGTCATGTATGTAAGGTTACGAGTGCCTACAGTGTGTGTCCGTGAGTTACGGTAGAATAATCCCCCGGTAACTCACGGTACTCATGACGGCTTGCTCCCTCTCCTCACGTATTATGAGGCACTTACACGTGACGCTACACTTATGAGGCAAGTATACACTCACATATAAGTACTGAATTATATTAAGTGATGACGAAGACAATTTTGAGACACACAAAAGTTGTGAAGAAAGTGGTAACATAAATAAACCTGTAACTGTGAGATAAGAGAAAGTAAATGATACAATTTATAAACAAAATGGAATAAAATATAAATTAATAGTATTTCTTATAAGTATAATCTAGATAAGGAGTTAATCCTCATCTATCTCTCACTCTCAATCTCTCTTCTCTCTCTCTTCCCTTTCCTTCTCCCTTTCTTCTCTTCTATAGCCCTCTCTCCCTCCCTCCCTCCCTCTCTTCCCCTCATGCTGTTTCAGTAGTCATTTCAACAAATAAAGTACAGAATAAAACATTAAATATAACACTATCACACACACCTTTCATTATCCATCTCTCCTCGTCTACTTCTCACCCACCTCATCACATCCATTTCCCCTTCATCCACCTCCCCGTCAACCACTTCTTGTCCATCTGCGATCCACCTCCTCATTCCACTCTTCACACCCACGTCTCAAACCATGACTTAGAACTAAAACCATGACTTAGAATTAAAACCAGACCTTAAGAGCTAGAATAAACGGGGATTTCGGCTCACCTCCCATACCTTTTCGTGCTGCATCTGTTTCATTAGGATGGAGCGCTTCTTGTCCTTACACCGCTTGTTCTGGAACCAGACTCTGATGACCCGCGGAGACAGCCCCGTCATCTCCACCAGCTGCTCCTTCATCAGGGCGTCCGGCCGGCAGTTGGCGGCGTAGCAGGTTCTGAAGGAGGACAGGCAGACGTCAGGGGGGGACGCAGCGAGCAACTCCCTCTCTCCCCCAGGCCAAATATGGCCACATAACGTTGGTGTAACACTGTATCAATATTGATGATACGCTGAATTAACGCTGTTATTCTTGATTCAACGAGGAATCAGCACCATTACTGGATATCGTGCCCGCAGGGAAGGTGAAGGGGAGAGGGGGAAGTGGGTGTAGGTGACACATGATATCAAAGATCCCGCTCTCAGGTGTACAACATGTACAGGTGTGTACTGGGAGCCTGTCTTCAGAGCAACAGGTGTACAACATGTACTGGGAGCCTGTCTTCAGAGCAACAGGTGTACATCATGTGCGGGTGTGTACTGGGAGCCTGTCTTCAGAGCAACAGGTGTACAACATGTACAGGTGTGTACTGGGAGCCTGTCTTCAGAGCAACAGGTGTACAACATATACAGGTGTGTACTGGGAGCCTGTCTTCAGAGCAAACCCATTACCATGACATACCACACCTCCCCCCCCCCCATAGTTATCTAGATATTTGTGATGGTCTAAAAGCATATTACATTTCCAGTAATAGTTTACATGTAAAACTAACAAGTGAACCTGTGTCCTGAACAGGGATTATTCTCAAGTTATAACTCCAAGTCTTAAATGGTTGTGTTGCGAGTATCCTCCAAGTATGGAGGATGATATCTCTCTCTCTCTCTCTCTCTCTCTCGTGATTCACTAACCTTAGCGTGTGTAGCTGCTTCTCGTTGAGCACAGTGCGTACCCTCGTAGTTTTCCCCTCTCGTCGTTCCTTCCGTACCGGTTTCCCCTCACCTGCAGGAGAGAATGATATTGTTGGAGAAACTGTGAGCAACGTTGGGAGGACAAGACACATCCTTGAGGAACGTTGGGAGGACAAGACACATCCTTGAGGAACGTTGGGAGGACAAGACACATCCTTGAGGAACGTTGAGAGGACAAGACACATCCTTGAGGAACGTTGGGAGGACAAGACACATCCTTGAGGAACGTTGAGAGGACAAGACACATCCTTGAGGAACGTTGGGAGGACAAGACACATCCTTGAGGAACGTTGAGAGGACAAGACACATCCTTGAGGAACGTTGGGAGGACAAGACACATCCTTGAGGAACGTTGGGAGAGGGACAAGACACATCCTTGAGGAACGTTGGGAGGACAAGACACATCCTTGAGGAACGTTGGGAGAGGGACGAGACACATCCTTGAGGAACGTTGGGAGGACAAGACACATCCTTGAGGAACGTTGGGAGAGGGACGAGACACATCCTTGAGGAACGTTGGGAGGACAAGACACATCCTTGAGGAACGTTGGGAGAGGGACGAGACACATCCTTGAGGAACGTTGGGAGGACAAGACACATCCTTAAGGAACACCAACATGGGAATCGAACAACAAACCTCCTTCAGGAATGCCAAGAATTGAGAAGGACACAAACATCCTTGAAGAACGCCAAGAAGGGACGACAAACACACTTAAGAAAGGACAAGTGGACGCTAAACAATTAAACTTTTAACGGGAACAAATAGAGGAGATAACAGCAACTTATTCACTCTCAAAAGACAAACTGGAAACACTGTAACTAAGTCTACACTGTTGTCAATATAAGAACTGCATAAAGTCTATTGCCACATATGAGGTAGAACCTATTTATATCCACCCAAACTCATACATGCAGTATACATGTCTAACCTACTGAGAACACCGTTACTAAGTCGTCAGTGTTGTTAATATACTGCTCGACACAAGAGACAACGTACACACAAAATATTAAAAGTTAAAAATGTATAAGTGGAAGCAAGGAAAATTAACAGGAATTTAAGCAATACATTCTGAGGATTGTGTTGACATCTCCCGCGTTTGTTTGTTTGTGTAGTGGTTAACTGGCCTCATCCCTCCGCCCTCATTCAACCTCTCTTATCTCTCCACCCTTTTCTCTCTCTAATAGGTGTTGCAAAGCCTTCGACACCCCTCACAGGGTTTGTAAAGCCATCGACGCCTTAACAGTTGTAAAGCCCTCGACGCTCTCACAGGTGTTGTAAAGCCCTCGACGCCTGTACAGTTGTAAAGCCCTCGACGCTCTCACAGGTGTTGCAAAGCCCCTGAAGACCCTCATAGGTGTTGCAAAGCCCCTGAAGACCCTCATAGGTGTTCCAAAGCCCCTGAAGACCCTCATAGGTGTTGCAAAGCCCCTGAAGACCCTCATAGGTGTTCCAAAGCCCCTGAAGACCCTCATAGGTGTTCCAAAGCCCCTGAAGACCCTCATAGGTGTTGCAAAGCCCCTGAAGACCCTCATAGGTGTTGCAAAGCCCCTGAAGACCCTCATAGGTGTTGCAAAGCCCCTGAAGACCCTCATAGGTGTTGCAAAGCCCCTGAAGACCCTCATAGGTGTTCCAAAGCCCCTGAAGACCCTCATAGGTGTTGCAAAGCCCCTGAAGACCCTCATAGGTGTTGCAAAGCCCCTGAAGACCCTCATAGGTGTTGCAAAGCCCCTGAAGACCCTCATAGGTGTTGCAAAGCCCCTGAAGACCCTCATAGGTGTTGCAAAGCCCCTGAAGACCCTCATAGGTGTTGCAAAGCCCCTGAAGACCCTCATAGGTGTTGCAAAGCCCCTGAAGACCCTCATAGGTGTTGCAAAGCCCCTGAAGACCCTCATAGGTGTTGCAAAGCCCCTGAAGACCCTCATAGGTGTTGCAAAGCCCCTGAAGACCCTCATAGGTGTTGCAAAGCCCCTGAAGACCCTCATAGGTGTTGCAAAGCCCTCCTTCCTTCAGTCATGCTAACACATGCCTGCGTTGCTTCTCTAATTATGCCTACTACCCTCCTCACATGCATTACCCCACTAAAACGTCTTTCCCTTCCCGTCACCCTTTTTGGTCCCGCTTCTTTCCCTCGTCAAGAGGCGGGACCAAAGAACCGAAGCTCAACCCCCCCCCCCACTATCCCAACCATTAGTACTTCACCCCCTCCCTTTTATCCCACTAACCTTTGAGTTCGTTGTTGTTAATGTTGGTGGTGTTGTTGTTCTCAGCGTTGGCTTTCTTCTCGAAGGAGTCGAAGTCATGTCGGCAGTAGAGGCCGTCTTCTCTGAGCGCGAACTCGTCCCCCGGGAGCAGCTGCTTCCCGCACGCCGAGCATCTGTGGCACACCGCGTGAAACCTCGACTAAGTCAATGGAATGATTCGTGATTCAAGTTAAACCGGAGGAAGACAATATAGAATGCTGCATGATTCAAGAAGAAAATGTTGACCATCACACGACATAATAAATGCGAACGTGGTTGAACCGGGTGACTGACGAAGTCTACAAAATGGGATGTTCATAAAAATGGCAGAAAAGCATTTGCAACCTGTCCTCTTAAAAATAACGTCGCTTTTGGCCATTTGCCCGTATGGCCGAAAGTGGACGTAATTTGAAAATGAAAAAAAAAATAGAAAATAAATTTGGGATTTTTTTTTTCAACAACAATAAGTTAAGGGTCTTCTGATAGGTTAGGTGGGCAGGAAATTCTCATAAAGTTTCAAAACGTTATGAAAAACATGAATTGAAAGTTTCCTCTCCTAACCTGTCCGAAGAGGGCCGGAGGACTCAAATAGAAAACGGGACAGTACGTCACTTTTGTGAGTCGATTTCATTTCAAATTACGTCCAAATTTGGCCATAGTGCGCATACCAGCCAAAAGTGACGTTATTTTTAAGAGGACGGGTTGTACGACTCTGTGTAATGTTATATCACCACCTCTAAAAAGTGACGAGACGTGAACAACAGCTGGCCAAACATTTCATGTAGAAGATGATCTTACGGGCATAATTATCCTATCAGAAAAATAAACACAGGAACTGCGGCAGGAGGTCAAATGATCTTTCATTAATTAACCTGGAATCCTTTCAACGCTCTGCTTGTTTATGCAGCCAGTTCTCAGTCTACGTCTATCTACTCATCTACTTCTGTATCTACCTCAGCTAAGCTCCTCACCTGAAACAGTCTAGATGGTAGATTTTCGTTCGGGCTCTCATGACAAGGTCGGTCTTCTCGAACATTCGTCCACATTTATCACATTTGGCGCCAAATAATCTGGAAGAAAACAACAAGGCCTGTCATTTTTACGCTTGTAAATATCAACAGAAAATGTCAGGTTTGTTATGTTTATACACATGACAATGTTAGGATACACGTGGGTGTTACGGGGTTCTTCTTGAGATCTTGAGATGATTTCGGGGCTTTAGTGTCCCCGCGGCCCGGTCCTCGACCAGGCCTCCACCCCCAGGAAGCAGCCCGTGACAGCTGACTAACTCCCAGGTACCTATTTACTGCTAGGTAACAGGGGCATTTAGGGTGAAAGAAACTTTGCCCATTTGTTTCTGCCTCGTGCGGGAATCGAACCCGCTCCACAGAATTACGAGTCCTGCGCGCTATCCACCAGGCTACGAGGCCCCTATGAGGTTATGTGGACCGCTTGTCTAGGCCCTATTATACCACTGTGTCACCCACCTATCCTGGCCTAGCCCAACCCCTTATCCACCCACCAACGCATCATTCAGAGGTGCCGCCATCCCATTCACAAATGCCCATCTAATCCCAAAGACCACACCCCAATCATCCACTACCACATACCATCCACACCCCTCAACCATCCACCACCACATACCATCCACACCCCTCAACCATCCACCACCACATACCATCCACACCCCTCAACCATCCACCACCACATACCATCCACACCCCTCAACCATCCACCACCACATACCATCCACACCCCTCAACCATCCACCACCACATACCATCCACACCCCTCAACCATCCACCACCACATACCATCCACACCCCCCAACCATCCACCACCACATACCATCCACACCCCTCAACCATCCACCACCACATACCATCCACACCCCTCAACCATCCACCACCACATACCATCCACACCCCTCAACCATCCACCACCACATACCATCCACACCCCCCAACCATCCACCACCACATACCATCCACACCCCTCAACCATCCACCACCACATACCATCCACACCCCTTAACCATCCACCACCACATACCATCCACCACCACATGCCATCCACACCCCAATCATCCACAACCACATGCCATCCACCACCACATACCATCCACACCCCTCAACCATCCACCACCACATACCATCCACACCCCTCAACCATCCACCACCACATACCATCCACACCCCTCAACCATCCACCACCACATACCATCCACACCCCTCAACCATCCACCACCACATACCATCCACACCCCCCAACCATCCACCACCACATACCATCCACATCCCCAACCATCCACAAACCATTTCAGTTCTTCGCATGATAGCCTAAAAAATGTTCTTTAATATCCAAATAATATAGACAGGGGGTTTATGCCCCAGTATATCGAGGAGGGGGGCTAGGGGATGGAGGGATGAGGAGGAGGAAGATGAGATGGGGGACGAGGAGGAAGAGGATAGTAGGCGGATAGTGGGGAGCGTGCTTGTCCTCCCTCCAGGCATGGTACGCTCCACAGATTAAACACTGGAGGCTGAGGTTATTTGAAGATAAACATTGCTGTCCAAACCCCCGCCTGCGTTTCTGATGAGATTTTAGACGCCGAGCGAGCAGGAGCGGCGCCAGACGCCACGGCTGCCATGGCCGAGAACCGTGCGTGTCCCGGTGCGGACTCTCGACGTTGCCGACAGGCCGTGGCATGGCACCGTCTTGCCACCGCTTGCCGATTTCTTGCGGGGGGGGGGGGGAAGCAAGAGATGGAAGCCATTTGAAATATAAGTATAAATACGGGAGCCCAGGCTCGGCTTCCCCTGTTTTGATCACCACAAATTCAATTCTCGCTAACGTGGCATTTCCGTAAATATTAACTTACCAGAGAGGCAAAGAATATTTCCCGGTTCGGATCACAACTGAATAAACTTGTGTAAAGCTTCTGATGACGGGAATGGTTGGGGAGGTTGTGTTGTGGTGGGTGTTGGTGGTGGTGGTGGGTGTTGGGGGTGGTGGTGGTGGTGGGGAGGGTGATGGGGGTGGTGGAGAGGGTGGTGGTAGTGCTGGGGTGGTGGTGGTGGTGATGGGGGTGGTGGTGGTGGGGAGGGTGTTGGTGGTGGTGGTGGTGGTGATGGTGGGTGTTGGGGTGGTGGTGGTGGGGAGGGTGATGGGGGTAGTGGTGGGGAGGGTGTTGGGGTGGAGTGGTGGTGGTGGGGAGGGGGGTGGGGGTGGAGTGGTTGTGGTGGGGAGGGTGATGCTGGTGGTGGGGAGGGGGGTGGGGGTGGAGTGGTTGTGGTGGGGAGGGTGATGCTGGTGGTGGTGGGGAGGATGTTGATGGTGGTGGTGGTGGGGAGGATGTTGATGGTGGTGGAAGATGACGTTGGTGATGATAAAAGCAGTATTGTCTTCACGAGACAATGTGCACGCATGTACAAATCCACAAATCCCCGTGACGAGGATTCGAACCTACGTCCGAGATTATCCCAGACGCTGCCTTAATCGACTGAGCTACGACATGCATGTATAACTGCATATACATATCCCCCCCCCCCCACTTCCTGCTCACATACTCCCTTTATAACGGTGTGGACCATCGTACATATATTAACCTATTGGACAATTAATAGAATTTGGTGCTATTCAATTTATTGAGTTCGGAAAATTAAAGCTAACACCAAATATTTCTAGGCCTAGTATAGCACATATATGTACTATATTAGGCTTCAGACAGCGTGTATTAGGCCTAGGATGCTTAGGTTAAGTTTTATTAGCAACATAAATACAAAACCTTTTCCGGTTTGTCCAAATTCATTAATAACAAATTCTACTTTCTAATTGTCCATTACGTCAATATATATATATATATATATATATATATATATATATATATATATATATATATATATATATATATATATATATATATATATATATATATATATATATATATATATAATATATAGGAACCCACCTATACCTGAGTTACCTTGATCTCTCATTCTGCTATTTATTCACGTAAACAATTATCCCCACTCCTTATCTCTCTCTCTCTCTCTCTCTCTCTCTCTCTCTCTCTCTCTCTCTCTCTCTCTCTCTCTCTCTCCCAGCGATCGTCATTATGGACGAGGTACAGTAGTCAGAGTACCGGTGCTGTTGGTGGGAAGCCCCTGGCAAGGTTGGTTTCGTATCCTCTGATGGGTCATAGAAATAGTGATATGTGCTTGTGGACCATTCAAGCTTGTTCAGTATATATAATGTATATATATATATATATATATATATATATATATATATATATATATATATATATATATATATATATATTATATATATATATATATATATATATATAATATAATATTAGTATTAGTAGTAAGGTGTAAATATGGCGGCTTTTCTGTAGCCCTGCGTAGGAGAATGACGCTCTACCGAAGGCTTGTAATAACAATGTGTGTACTCACCTAGTTGTACTCACCTAGTTGTGTTTGCGGGGGTTGAGCTCTGGCTCTTTGGTCCCGCCTCTCAACCGTCAATCAACAGGTGTACAGATTCCTGAGCCTATCGGGCTCTGTCATATCTACACTTGAAACTGTGTATGGAGTGAGCCTCCACCACATCACCCCCTAATGCATTCCATTTGTCAACCACTCTGACACTAAAAAAGTTCTTTCTAATATCTCTGTGGCTCATTTGGGCACTCAGTTTCCACCTGTGTCCCCTTGTGCGTGTTCCCCTTGTGTTAAATAGACTGTCTTTATCTACCCTATCAATCCCCTTCAGAATCTTGAATGTGGTGATCATGTCCCCCCTAACTCTTCTGTCTTCCAGCGAAGTGAGGTTTAATTCCCGTAGTCTCTCCTCGTAGCTCATACCTCTCAGCTCGGGTACTAGTCTGGTGGCAAACCTTTGAACCTTTTCCAGTTTAGTCTTATCCTTGACTAGATATGGACTCCATGCTGGGGCTGCATACTCCAGGATTGGCCTGACATATGTGGTATACAAAGTTCTGAATGATTCTTTACACAAGTTTCTGAATGCCGTTCGTATGTTGGCCAGCCTGGCATATGCCGCTGATGTTATCCGCTTGATATGTGCTGCAGGAGACAGGTCTGGCGTGATATCAACCCCCAAGTCTTTTTCCTTCTCTGACTCCTGAAGAATTTCCTCTCCCAGATGATACCTTGTATCTGGCCTCCTGCTCCCTACACCTATCTTCATTACATTACATTTGGTTGGGTTAAACTCTAACAACCATTTGTTCGACCATTCCTTCAGCTTGTCTAGGTCTTCTTGAAGCCTCAAACAGTCCTCTTCTGTTTTAATCCTTCTCATAATTTTAGCATCGTCCGCAAACATTGAGAGAAATGAATCGATACCCTCCGGGAGATCATTTACATATATCAGAAACAAGATAGGACCGAGTACAGAGCCCTGTGGGACTCCACTGGTGACTTCACGCCAATCGGAGGTCTCACCCCTCACCGTAACTCTCTGCTTCCTATTGCTTAGATACTCCCTTATCCACTGGAGCACCTTACCAGCTACACCTGCCTGTCTCTCCAGCTTATGTACCAGCCTCTTATGCGGTACTGTGTCAAAGGCTTTCCGACAATCCAAGAAAATGCAGTCCGCCCAGCCCTCTCTTTCTTGCTTAATCTGTGTCACCTGATCGTAGAATTCTATCAAGCCTGTAAGGCAAGATTTACCCTCCCTGAATCCATGTTGGCGATTTGTCACGAAGTCCCTTCATTTGTCACGAAGTGTGTGTGTGTGTGTGTGTGTGTGTGTGTGTGTGTGTGTGTGTGTGTGTGTGTGTGTGTGTGTGTGTGTGTGTGTGTGTGTGAGTGCGCACGCCTGTTTGCTTGTATGTAAAAAAAAAAGTTTGAAATATACCATCACCTATATGAAATTGACCAAATTATCCGAGTCATTTACAAGGCTTGGTTGATCTGAGACCAGAATCCCCGGAAGAGCTAGCTCTCAGTTAATAAATTAACCCCCCAACCATTTTGTCTATAATTGAGCTCAAAAACATTTTCTCGTCTGATCGTGAGAGGTAAACGACTTCAGG